CAGATAGCCGGTTGAGGTAAAGGCAGTGCAGGGGGAGAGGGGAGGAGACAGACAGAGACAGAAATATGCGACAGGAGACATACCAAGGTAGAAGGAGGCAAACCAAAGCAAAAAGAGACAGGAGGCGACAGATACAGACAGACAGAGACAGAAATAACCAGACGGAGACAGAGACAGAGACAGAGAGAGACAGAGACAGACAGAGGAAGAGACAGAGACAGAGACAGACAGAGGAAGAGACAGAGACACAAACAGGCAGTTACAGTGCTGTTGATTGTAGAGTCAGGTGGTATTTGCATGTTAAGGACTCAGACGTTTGGCTCAACGCTCAAGGCTTTGAGCTGTACACCCTAGCCCGAGGTGCTTGCTGCCTTGTCTTATTTGTTTGTTGTTTCTTGGTCTTCGTTTGGCTTGTGTATATTTGTTTGCATTTGTTTGTTGTGTTTATTTATTAGCCGTTTATTTGTGTGTGTTTATTTGTTTATTTCNTATTTGTTTGCATTTGTTTGTTGTGTTTATTTATTAGCCGTTTATTTGTGTGTGTTTATTTGTTTATTTCTGTTTGTTGATGTGTTGTTTACTTTGTTTATTTTGTTTTCTCCTCAGCACTGCGACGGAGCCGATGGGCATCGTGCTGCTACGGGTTGTCTGCTTTGCTGCCGTCTCGCGTTGAGTTGCAGCAGCAGGAGATTGCTGCGCTGCAGCTGTTGGGTTCCGGTTTTTTGCTGCAGCTGCAGCAGCAGCTTCAAGACTATAGACGCCACTTCGAGCCCCAGACCCTCGCCCTCGCCCTCTCCCTATGGATAGGCCTCGTCCAGCGGCTGCTGCTGCTGCCTCCAATCAACCAGCAGCAGCAGCAGCAGCAGGGGCAGCAGCAGCAGCAGTGGCAGCGCAAGAAAGGGGGGCTTAGCGAGTACTTGTATGAGGGGTATCCTCGTGCTGTTGGTGTGGACGATGCTGCCTGGGATGAGTGGAGATCTAACACGCGGGCGGCGCTGCAGATGAGTGTAGATTACTCTTATAGATGGATGAGAGAAAAGAGGGAAGAAGAAGAAGAAGAGGCGGGAGGAAGGGCTGGAAGAGAGGAGACAGAGGAGACAGACAGCCAAGGAGACAGCTACTGGGTGTGGGGCCTCCCGAAGCTGCTGCGGGGCCCCTTGCCTCTGCATGATATGCTGAGGTGCTTCATTTACCGCTCCCTCGCTGCTGCTGCTGCTCGACTGCTGGGGCAGCCGGTGGCTGCGCTGCTGCAGCTGGCGCGAGGAGGAGACAGAGGGGAGACACAGGAAACAGAGAAAGAGACGGAAGCAGAGAACGACGCAGAAACAGAAACGGAGACAGATCGAGTGTTGTGTGCTCTGGCCAAAGGCATCCACAGCCTCTACAACCACGTGCAGTCTGAGCTGCTGCTGTACGCCCCCGTATTCGCACCGCTGCTGCCGCTGCAGGGGGAGCAGCCGCTGCTGGTGTTAGCTGCTGCTAGGGCTGTGCTGCTGTCAGTG